GGGGATGTGCCTGTTGAAGTTTTAACTCAGATTGTTGCGACAATATCAGATCCTTCTGCCATGCTAGGCCCTGAGGTAAATAAAACATACAGTGAAACATCGCATTTTATTGTTTGTGTGTTAAGATATAGAATACGAAAAGGGATACAGCTCAACCATATCTTTGTTTATGAATTTCAATGTTTTTGTTGAATGTAAGTGCGTTATATTTACCACGTAATAATAAAGTTATAATGAGCAACAAATTTAGTGGACGAGCGGGCAAACAAACAACCAAAATAAAACTAAAGAAAGAATTAAAGACATAGATGTAATTAATTACTCTAATTGATAATGACAGTAGGACTGAATGGAGTCCAATTCAGTCTGTAATTATACGAGTGATGGGTCCGATTTGTTCGACATACCGAATTAGACGACCCGAAGTCCTGTTACCAATTAATCAAAACTGTGACAAAATTCGAGAGAGAAATCAGACAGAACTATACGCTTTCATAAAAAACAACAGTTAACTTGGTGAAATGCTCGACAACAGTGAGCGCACATGACGCGTTCTGTCTACTAACACAGGCATGTTGTGTCAATTGTCCTATGACGCTGTTCAATCACAAGCATGACGCCTACACCGTCCTATTAGTGCTCGAATCGGGCCGGTGATAACCAATCACGTTCTAGAATTTTGCGATTGTTTTGATTAATTTTGTGGTCGCATCAGGCAAATATACGTATTTATGAAGATATATAAGTGTTATTCTAATTTTCAAGTTGAAGACACAGGAAGAATCTATCTGTAATTTTTGATAAAGGAAACCCGATAATCAATCATGATAAAGAATAAATGAATTATAAAAATAAGTAAATGATAAAACTGCATTGTTTTGGTCAGCTTAACTCCCTCCTCCCCTCCCCTCCCCTCTCCTCCCCTCCCTCCTTCCCCCTTCCCCTCCCCCCTTCTTTTTTCCTCAATAAAGTTCAATAATTGTAACCCTTCTATTCCCAGAAGTGATTAACATGTAACTTCTCCTTATAATATCCAGCAAACTGGTAATCAGGTAGAAGGTGTTATCTTGATCTAAGACCAAATTCTCGTAACTAAAATATAAGGAAATGTGCAGCAGCTAGAGGGGAGAATTAACAATCATATCGTTGGAGTTAAAGGGTTTAAATAACCGTTTTGTTTTGTTCAGGGGGGCCTTTATCCTGGTACCCATAGCGCACGTGATGAGGCAGCGCGCTGCGAGGAGAGAAGAGGTGTCATCGAATTTCACGTCGTCGGAAATTCATTCACGAGACAGCCCTCAAGGCAGACACTACTTTGGCTGGTTGGATTACAAAACGTGTTCTCTTATCAGTTGCCAAGGATGCCCAAAGAATACATCTCTAGACTTGTGTTTGACCCGTGAGTGTAAATTAGACTTGAGATTTGATTATGATAACTGTCTCCAACTGACAATCAGGGAAAAAACTGCTGTGGTAAACGAGCTTGAGTTCTCTTATTTTCAACCTACGCTAATATATCCTACTCCTACTTCCCTTTATTACCTCTTGCGATTTGGTTTTATTTTTCCTCGGAGAACATATCTTGGTTCTTTAGCTGAAAAAAGTTGAAGCAACACTGACAAGGGAGGGGAAAGAAAGGTGCTTTTTTTCATGCCAGGTTGTAATATTTTGAGAAGTGGAGTTATCATTTGCATGAGGACAAATTTTCTTTATGTGGCGTTTTACACGATCGGAGGTTTTTTAGACCTCGTAAGCTTTTATGTTTTGTTTACCCATATCTATTCCTTTCAAATTTACTCTTATTCACACGCATATGTACGTAAAAATTAATAAAAGATAAAGCTGGGAATCGCTTGCCACCGGCGACAGCTATAGCATCCCGGTTTTCAGGGCAGGAAGTGACTTTGAGTTTTGCTTTTCCA